AGGCACTCTCTAGTTTATCAAAGTCTTTTTAAAAACGTGGCTACCTTCCAAGGCAAGGCAAATGGATGACAGACTAGTAAGAAATCCCAGAATCCTAGAATTTAAGAATTGGAAGAGTCCTCAGTGGCTATTCAAGTGAAACCCCTATCTAAAAGAAATCCCCATAACAATATTCTTGACAAGGGGCCATCCATCCTCTACTTGAAGACCTCCATTAAGAAAGAACCAGACAAGAGCTTGTGGGAGCCAGCTGGCACAGACTTGAGAGAGCGTTTGGTGTGAGCATTTATATCTTGGGAATAGTCTTGTCAAAGGCTACAAATCAGGGTTTGATTTATCGTTTCACTGATTGTCTCAAGAAGGTGTTGGAGAAAATGTTAAAGAATACAAATTAATGTGAAACATGTGTATGATATATGTAGGGCATTCATCTCTTACCACCCCCTCATCGCACTCCACCTCACCCCACTCCCCCAGCCATTTGTTAAATATTTCCCAGCACAACCCTGGAGGGAACCCATCAGCTCTAATAGTGGCCCCTTTCTCCTTTGGACAGCTCCGAATGCTAGCAACTTTTTCCTGACTTCAACTACCCATTCTTCCTGGTTCTGCCCTCTGGGCCAAGCAGAATAAGTCTGATCTCACTTCTATTTAACAGCTTTTCAGATAGCTGAAGACAGCTATCATGCCTACCTCCTCTCCAGTCTTTTCTTTAGGCTAAACATCCCCAGATCCTTCAACTGACTTCATGCTATGCACTCAACACCCTTCACCACAAAATAAGATAATATTTGTACAGCACTTAACATAGTGCTTGGCATACAGTAGGTCCTTAATAAATCCTTCCTTCTCTTCTTCTCTCCTTTTCTCCCTTCCTTCCTTCCCTCCCCTTTCCCTCCCCTCTCTCCTTCCTCTTTTCCTTCCCTCTTTCCTTTTTTCCCTTCCTTCCCTCTCCCCTTCTTTTCCTCCCTTCTTCCTTCCTTCTTCCCTCGCTCCTTTCTTCCCTCCTTTTCCTTCTTTCCACTTTTCTTCCCTCTCTTCCTTCCTTCTCCCATTACTTCCCCCGTCCCTTCCTTCACTCTCTTCTTTCCTTCCTTCTCCCCTTCCTTTTCTCCCTTCTTCCTTCCTGATTGTCCTCCTCTAGACACTCTCTGGCTTATAAAGACCCTTCTTAAACTGTGATGCCCAGAACTACATGCAATTTCCCAGCTGTGGTCTGAGGAGAGTCCAGGACAGCAGACCTCTCACCCTCTTGTTCCTGTCAGTGATGCCTCTCTCAATGCCAGTCAGAATCACAACAGCTTTTTGAGGACTGCCATATTACTTTGCTAACCCGTAGTGAACTTGTGGTCCTCTAATACCCCCAGATCTTTCTTCTTTCTTTCTTTTTTTATTAGTTTATTTTGATTTATCAACAATCACTTCCATATGCTTTTGAGTTGAAAATTTTTCTCCCCCTTCCTCCCCCCTCCCACCCTCCCCAAGACAGCGCACAATCTGATATAGGCTTTACATTTACATACCCATTAAACATATTTTCACATTAGTGAAGTTGTAAGTAAAAATTAAAACCAATAGGAGGAACCATCAGAAAGATGAAACAAAACTCAACAGAAGGTAAAAATAAGTGATAGCAATTCGACTTCCATAGTTCTTTCTTTGGATGTGGACAGCATTTTCCATCCCGAGGCCTCTGGAAATGTCTTAGATCCTTGTAATGCTGAGAAGGGTTCAGTTTAACAATCTTAGTCATTGCATAACGTGGCTGTTATTGTGTACAAAGTCCTCTTGGTTCTGCTCACTTCACTCAGCATCAGACCATATAAGTCTTTCCAGGTTTTTCTGAAGTCAGCCTGTTCATCATTTCTTATAGCACAATAGTATTCCATTACATTCATATACCACAACTTGCTCAGCCATTCCCCAATTGATGGGCATCCTCTCAATTTCCAATTCTTTGCCACCACAAAAAGTGCTGCTATGAGTATTTTTGTACATGTGGGTCCTTTTCCCATTTGTTTGATCTCTTTGGGATATAGCCCTAGATCCTATTGCTGGATCAAAGGGTATGCACATTTTTATAGCCCTTTGGGCATAGTTCCAAATTGTTCTCCAAAATGGTTGGATCATTTCACGACTCCACCAACAATGTATTAGTGTTCCAATTTTCCCACATCTTCTCCAACATTTATCATTTTTCCTGTTTTGTCATGTTGGCCAATCTGATAGGTGTGATGTGGTACCTCAGAGTTGTTTTGATTTGCATTTCTCTAATCAATAACGATTTAGAGCATTTTTTCATATGACTATAGATGGCTTTAATTTCTTCATCTGAGAACTGTCTGTTCATATCCTTTGGCCATTTATCAATTGGGGAATGGCTTGTGTTCTTATAAGTTTGTCTTAATTCTCTATATATTTTAGAAATGAGGCCTTTATCAGAGAGACTAGTTGTAAAAATTCTTTCCCAATTTTCTCCCTTCCTTCTAATCTTAGTTGCATTGGCTTTGTTTGTGCAAAAACTTTTCAATTTAATGCAATCAAAATTATCCTTTTTGCTTTTCATAATGTTCTCTATCTCCTGTTTGGTCATGAATTCTTCTGTTCTCCATAGATCTGATAGGTAAACTATTCCTTGTTCTCCCAGTTTACTTATGGTATCAGCCTTTATATTTAAGTCATGAACCCATTTTGACTTTATTTTGGTATATGGTGTGAGATTTGGGTCTATGCCTAGTTTCTGCCATACTCTTTTCCAGTTTTCCCAGCAGTTTTTTTTTTCAAAGAGTGGGTTCTTATCCCAGAAGCTGGGGTCTTTGGGCTTATCAAATAATAGATTACTATAGTCATTGACTACTGTGTCTTGCATATTTAACCTATTCCACTGATCCACCTCCCTATTTCTTAGCCAGTACCAAGCAGTTTTGATGATTGCTGCTTTATAATACAACTTAAGACCCCAGATCTTTTTCAGACAAACTGCTGCTTAACCTGGATGAACTGATTTTTTTGAGCCCAAGTTTAAAACTTTAAATTTAAATCCAAGTTTAAGACTTAAATTGAGCTTTGTTGAATCTCATCTACTTAGATTCAGCCCAGTGTTACAGCAGGACAAGATCTTCTGGGATCCAGCATGTCATCTCAGCCTTAACTTTGAAGTAAATATAGATTAAAATTTTAAAACAATGTTTCACAATGGAACAGAACTTTGTTTGGGGAAAGGAAGACTCCCTCTTAGTTCATATTATTCATAAAAGGCAGTAGCATCAGAAAGATTTCAAAGAGCAGCTGGTTGATTGTGAAACTCAACTTTTGGGGAATAAATCAAAAAGCAGAATGACTTGTGGTATTGAACACTGGAGTGAGAAACAAAGGACATGATGGGATAGCTAGGTGGCGGAGTGGATAGAGCACTAGCTCTGGAGTCAGGAGGACCTGAGTTCAAATCCGGTCTCAGACCAGACGCTTGACACTTACTAGCTGTGTGACCCTGGGCAAGTCACTTAACCCCAGTTGCCTCACCCCCCCCAAAAAAAAAAGAAGAAGAAGAGAAAGAAAAAAAAGAAAAAAGAACCAAAGGACACGGATTTGAATCCTGGCTTTGACACTGACTACCTGTGTGATTTTGGGCAAGTCACCTAACCTCTCTGGGCCTCAGTTTTCCCACTGGTGAAATAAAGGGGAGGGGGAGTGATAGAACTAGATGATTCAAAAAAGCCTCTTCCTGCTCTTAGCCTCCTAGCATTTACACGCTGTGTTTTATGAAAAGCCTAGGTTTTGGGAAATGACTCCATAGACTCTCAGCTTACAGAAAGGTCCCAGATAGGGATGCATCCAGATTGAGTCCTCCCTGTCCTTGGACCTGGGGTGCCCATTCTTGAGGGTTTCCCATTAAGGACTAGTTAGCTAGTTCAGATTCACCTTCCCCCACATATTTGATCTTAACAAAATAAAAATTAAGTGTTTTCTCAAAATGATCAGATGTAACTGCCTCCTTCTTCTAGATGCCAGAATGTGGTTCATCCAGGCCCCTTGTGATAACTTCTGTGGTCTGTGCCCTGTGGTTACCCAATAGTGGACAGACTCGGTTCTTCACAGATGTTTTATCAGCTCATGCAAGGACTGTTACCGCAAGAAGCCATTAAGAATGTGCAGTCTCAGGGCACGACAAGACAGATCTCTCCCATAGGACCATTGGACATTTGCCCAGTGACCTGTGGGGTCAGGGGCTAAGACTAGGAGGGCAGTGGGAGAGGTAGGAAGAAATGAAAGCCTGAGGGTACAGAGGACAGATGCCAATCATCTGGGGTCAGAAAAACTGGCCTTGAGTCCTAGGTCCCCCATCAATGACTAGCACTGTGAGCTGGAGCAGTACTCAATTCCTGGGACTCCATGTCCCCATCTGTAAAATAATGGGATTAGACTAGATAATCTCTAAGGCCCCTTACAGATTTAAGATCTATGTTCTAAGTTAAGTCTAAGCTTGAACATCAAGATCATTGGATTTAGACCTTCGAGGACCTTAGAAAACATCTAGTCCAACATCTTCATTTTACAGATGAGGAAACCGAGGCCCAGAGGCTTACATACACATTTGCTGTTCTAAGCCCCTTCTCAGTCCTGACATTCCCTGTTCTAAGGCCCCTCCCAGCTCTGACATCCCCTGTTCTAAGCCCCCTCTCAGCTCTGACATCCTCTGTTCTAGGGTCCCTCCAAGCTCTGACATCCCCTGTTCTAAGCCCCTCTCAGCTCTGACATCCTCTGTTCTAGGGTCCCTCCAAGCTCTGACATTCTCTGTTCTAAGCCCCCTCCCTATTCTCACATTCTGTGATTGTATGAGGGAAGCCAATTACACCCCAGCGGTTAGCAGCAGGGCTAAGGGTTAGTGATGGCTGCAAATTACTCGCTGAGGGAGCTCCTCATCCTCAGATGCTCCCTCCTCTCTGTCGGGCCACCCAGAGGCCTCATGATAGGCAGCACCTTTTGCTCCAGGAAAGGGATCATTTCTTCAGTTTATTTTTTGGTTAAACATGCAGGATCCCATTCATCATCCCCAGTGGTGCAGGGCCAGAGAACGTTAATTCCTGATTCTCAAATAAGGAAGGTATTTAGCAAGTTAGTTTTTGTCTTGCTGAAGTGTTTCCATGTGGAACAATACTTCCAAGGGGTTGGAGTGGGGTCCAGGGGAGAGTTAGGAGGCACTGCTGGGGCTATGAGGCTGAGTTGGCTGGCTCAGGACCCCAGGAATCTAGGGCAGGGGACGGTCCTTCTCTGCCGCTGGCTCTAGTGTCTCCCCTTCCCTGCCCTCCCATTTCATTAGAGCCTGGGACTTCTGGCTCTGCCCTCCCACCAGCCCAATGTGCAATGGTCCGTAATAAGTGCCCTCACCTAGTGAAGAGGTTGGCATTCTAGAACTAGCTGTGTGACCTTCCAACAAGTCAGCTTCCCTCTAGGGGCTCAGAGGGCCTCAGCCTCCTCATCTGTAAAATGGGAGCATTGCAGAAGATGGTCTCTAGGCTCCCTTATGGCTCGAATAGCCTGTGATTCTGAGTGCCAATCCATATCCGACAGTATTTTTCATCACTTTCACCTCTCTGGCCTCAGTTTCCTTATCTGTACTAGATTGCCTTCGCACACTCCTCACCCACGAAATCTTTTGGCAGACAACCAGCCATATCTCATTTTGCCCTTCCCGATGTCCAGCAGAGAAGTCTGGTCTTCAGTGCTGAGCCCAGGGAGCCACGGAATTCTAGGGTTGTGTATTCTGTCTAGCAGGAGAGCCCTCTTCATTCCTCATTTTTCTCAGGCCTGGGCTTCTTGGCACAAAGGGCTGGAGATGGGGAGGAGGGGGGTGGGAGGAAGTCATCTGGATTCACAGGTAGATTAACTGAGTCAAGGGGAGGAGGTGGGGATGGTGGAGGATGATTGGCTTGGGAAGCTGAGATCCAGGCACCTTCAGAGGTGGGATGGAGGAATACTGGGCAGCTTCCTTTCTTCTAGAATTTGCCCAAAGAGCCTGGCAACCTCCAGGGCACAGCCCCAATGGATGGTGAGCCCATAACCACCATGGCCATAGTTATGAATGACCTGAAAGAACCAAGAGATAAGGTGATCACTGAGCCTGCTGTTGGGAGGTAGCGGAAGAGGAGAGAAAACATCTCTGGCACACAGAGATCAGTGCAGTCAGAGAGTGCCACTTACATTGGGGTGACTGACCCCAGGCAAGTTGCTGAATCTCTCTGAGCCTCAGTGGCCTCATCCGTGAAATGGGAATAGTAATAACTTGTATTTGTGCAACCTTCCATATAGTGTAGTTGTGTGAAAACATTTTAAACCAGCTTCGATAGTCTATGCTCTAAACACCCTCCCAGCCCTGAGATTCCCTGTTCCAAGGCCCCTCCCAACCCTGACATTCCATGTTCCAAGGCCTCTCTCAGCTCTGACATTCCCTGTTCTAAGGCCCCTCCCAGCCCTGACATCCCCTGTTCCAAGGCCCCTCCCAGCTCTGACATCCCCTGTTCTAAGGCCCCTCCCAGCCCTGACATGCCCTGTTCTAAGGCCCCTCCCAACCCTGACATTCCATGTTCCAAGGCCTCTCTCAGCTCTGACATTCCCTGTTCTAAGGCCCCTCCCAGCCCTGACATCCCCTGTTCCAAGGCCCCTCCCAGCTCTGACATCCCCTGTTCTAAGGCCCCTCCCAGCCCTGACATGCCCTGTTCTAAGGCCCCTCCCAACCCTGACATTCCATGTTCCAAGGTCCCTCCCAGCTCTGACATCCCCTGTTCTAAGGCCCCTCCCCGCCCTGCCATTCCCTGTTCTAAGGCCCCTCCCAGCCCTGACATTCCATGTTCCAAGGCCCCTCCCAGCCCTGACATCCCCTGTTCCAAGGCCCCTCCCAGCTCTGACATTCCATGTTCTAAGGTTCCTTCCAGCTCTTGCCTTTTTAGTTGTGGCATTCTATATGACCCAATAGATAGAGGGCTAGTTTTGAAGTCAAGAAAACATGGGTTCAAGCCTCGCTTTTGACCCACACTGACTGAGTGACCCTGGGCAAGGTCATTTAAACTCTAAGACTGTCAGCTGGGGCAGCTAGGTGGTGCAGCGGATAGAGCACCAGCCCTGGAGTCAGGAGGACCTGAGTTCAAATCCAGCCTCAGACACATAATACTTTCTAGCTGTGTGACTCTGGGCAAGTTACTTAACCCCAATTGCCTTGCAAAAAAAAAAAAAGACTGCCAGCTGCAGAGAAGGGCAGGACGATACTGGAAGAGGGTGCCTTCTCATCCCCAAGCTCCCAGGTCTCAGATGTTCTCTAATTCAGCCTAATGTGCCACTCTCTCCTGCCCTGGCATCTCCATTTCTGGGCACCTCTATCTTACTTCATGCCTTAGCTCTGAGTGTCCTGTAGCCAGCCACCTTTGATGGATTGGGGGCTGGGGGAGGGGCAGGGAGTGGATTATCCCTCTCTAAATTAATCCTGATTCCACTTAGCCTTCTTTGGAATTCTGGTGCCTTTCCAAGCATCATGACTCAGGGTCATCTCCAAGCTAAAATAGGAATAGGTTTTCAACTCAATTCACTCATACTCCATGGGGCCCCATTTCATTGCATTTATCGTCTTTTCTTACAACTAGTTTTTTACTTCTATTTTAAAAAATCATACTACACTGCTTTGGTCAAGCCCTATCTGGGACGAATGAGAAGTTTGGTGGGCCTTCTCAGGCACCTCCACAACCACTCACCCCCTGTCCTGGAGACCAGAGGCAGTTTGTTTTCATCTAGAATGGAAGCTCTCTGAGCCATCCCAACACTTTCACTTACTTGACCTTGGACAAGTCATTCCCCCCTCTCTCTGAGACTCAGTTTCCTCATATATAAAATGAGGTCATTGGACTACATGATCTTTAAAGTCCCTTCCAACTCAAAAATCCATGATAGCATCATCAGAGATTTCGAGTCTGAATCTAGCTGCCCCATTTTACAGAGGAGGAAACTGAGACTGGCAAAAGTTAAATTACTTTCCCAGGGTCACACAGCAAGTAAGTGTCTGAGATAAGATTTGAACCCAGAACTTTCTACTTTCAAGTGCAGTCAGTCAGTATGCTGAAGATGGTGGATATCAGTAGTCAGATCTGGGAACAGTCACTATAGCACAATGTCTCCCTGGGTGAACCTATGGTCCCCCTGGTACTAAAACAGGAAGAGGGCAGGATAAAGGTGGAAGAATAATGAATGAAACTCCTCTAGGGAGCCTGGGCCCCAGGGACTGGGTTCAATTGGTCAGGACAGATCCTCTCCAACCACAAAAGTAATTCAAGCAAGTGCCTCCCCCCCAAAAAAAAATCAATTCATCTAAAGACCAGTGGCTTCCTTCTACAGATGCAAAATCCCAGACACCTCAAATCTTAGCATCTCTGACTAAGAGGGACCTCTGGAGCCATCTAGGCCCACCTCCCACCGTACACAAGAATCTTCTTTATCCCTGAAGGCGACTGCCCAAAGAATCCATGCCATCCCATTTCTCCTGTTCAGTCCCTGCTTTCCCCGGGTAGTATGGTACGAAAGAGTACTGGGTTTAGTGTCAGAGGCCCTGGGTTCAAATCCTCACTCTGCTCCTTAATGCCTATATGAGCTTGGGAGCGTAACTCCGCCTCTCTGGGCCTCAGTTTCCTCTTCTGTAAAAGGAAAGAATGGGACTAGATGAGCTCAGAGTATCCCTCTCCAGGCCTCAGTTTCCTCTTTTGTAAAATGAGGGGAACTTTGAGGTCCCTTCCAGTTCAGAATCCATAATCCTATGATTCCAAAGGTCCTAGGACCCCCACGGCCTTTCTACCTTTCCATCAAAGATTTCTTTACATTACCTATGATTTGGAAAAGGAAATAAATTCATTCCCCCAAGGTGGAAAGAGCCTAGAATTTGGAGTTGAGAAGACCTGGATTCAAAATCCCAGCTCTGCTCCTGGCCTACATTTGTGACTTTGGACAAGTCACTTAGCTTATCTGGGCCTCAGTCTCCTCATCTGTAAAATGGAGACAATGATACCCATAAGACATATTGTGGCTGTTGTGAGATCATGGATGTGAAGCTCTGGGCCATGGAAATATCAGTTATTAATTTTTAGGATCCCAAATACAGGGTCAAAAGGGACCTTAGAGGCTCTCCCAGACTATTCCTTCATTTTGTGGATGAGGAAGTACTTTGCCCCAGGCCCTTCAGGTATTACGTAGCCAAGATAGAAATGAAAAGCTGAACAAAAATCCAGTCATCCCGTACACCACAGCACCTCTGAAAGTTCATGGATCTCAAACTGAATGGAACCTAAAGGCCATCTATTTCAATCCCACTTCTGTTTACAGATGAAGAAACTGAGTCTTAGGACCACTGAGTGAGTTACCCAAGGTCATACAGGTAGTGGATAGGAGAAGTGGGATTGAAACCCAGCTCTTCTGCTTCCAGGGCCAATGTTCTTTTTCCTAAGCTTTGACTGAGGCCAAAGCACGTTGGTATGGACCAGAGCTCAGGCCCCGGGCTCCTGTAGACATCAGTGGGGCTGGTTCAGAAATCTAAATCTTCATAAACTCAAGAATACCCAGGGACCATCCACCAATAGATAAGCAAAGGATATGAGCAAAAAATTCTCAAAAGAACCACAAAGTATTCACAACCATGTGAAAGAATGCTTAAAATCACTAGTAATAAAAGATATGTAACCCTGATGTTTCACCTCACACTGCAAATTGCAAAGGTATCAAGAGATGGCAACAGTCAACATTGGTGAGGTTGTAGGAAGATAGGCACACTAGCACATTGTTGGTGGAGCTGTGAATTTATCTAATCATTTTGGAAAGCAATTTGGAATTTTACAGATAAAGTGACTAAAAGGTCATAACTTTTGACCCGGAGATTCCATTACTGGGCTTCTGTATCATGGAGGCCATTGATAAGAAGCAAGTCTCCTTATTCACCAAACGTTTGTGACTACTTTTTGTGATAGCAAAGCATTAGAAACAAAGTAGATTCCCATTGACTGGAGGATGGCTAATTGTGGTACGTGAATGCAATGGAATGTTACTGTGTGGTAACAAATGATGTGACGAGCAGCTAGGGGGCTCCATAGTGCATAGAGTGCTGGGCCAGGAGTCAGGAAGACTCAATTTCCTGAGTTCAAATCTAGCCTCAGACACGTACTAGGTGGGTGACCCTGGACAAGTCACTTAACCCTGTTTGCCTCAGTTTCCTCATCTGTAAAATGAGATGGAGAAGGAAATGGCAAACCACGCCAGTGTCTCTGCCAAGAAAACCTCAAATGGGGTCACAGAGAGTCAGACATGACTGAAATGACTGAATAACAACACAAGGATGTGTGTGATGAATACAGAGAAATGTGGGAAAGATCGACAAGAACAGATGTAGAGTAATGTCAGCAGAACCAAGAAAACAATATACACAATGACCACAACAATGGGAATGGAAAGAGCAAATACACATGCACAGAAGTCAACAGTGAATGCTGCAAAATCTAAAAGAACAATTATGAAGAGAACAAGCATTTATGTAGCCCTACTATGTGCCAGGCACTATGCTAAGCACTTTACATGTCTTTCATTGTCACAACAACCCTGGGAGGGAGGGGCTGTTATGGTCCGTGTTTTAAAGTTGAGGAAAGCGAGGCAGACAGTAGTGAAATGACTTGTCACACAGTCAGGAATTATCTTTAGCTGCATTTGAACTCAGATCTTCCTGACCCTAGGCTCTATCTGCTGCCTGCCTACCACACCCCTTTGCAAGAGTGGGAGGTCTATAGGTGTTGCTCATTACACATATTTTCAGACTTTTTCAACACATTTATCTGTTTTGCTGATTTTTTCCTCCTTTTGTATTTAAAAGAATACTATATGCTACGTGGGATGGCTCTCTGGCAGGAGGAGGCAGAAGTATACTGAGGGAAATTATGGAGATGTAAAAAAAAACATGAATAAAAAACTTATTTCAATGTTTTTCTTTAAAAGAATACCCCCGGAGCAACAGAGGACCTGAGTTCAAATCTGGCCTCAGACACATAACATTTACTAGCTGTGTGACCCTAGGCAAGTCACTTAACCCCATTGCCTAGCCAAATAAATAAATAAAAGAATACCCCGGTGATCCCTTTGTTCACCACCCCTCACATTCCCATCTTATGACTTTGGGCAAGTCACCCTCCTGGGGCCTCAATTTCCCCAACTAAAGAGTCTTCTATTGCCTTCCTACTTCCCAGGGATGGATGTGAAAAGTCCTTTGGAAGGAAAAGTACTATGGGTGACAAGTGGCATTATTAATCTTCTGGCTCAGGAGACCATACCTCTGCCTTGAAGGGTCCACATGATAGCTTCTCTCTCTCCAGCCGGACTTGGGGTCGGACTGGCCGTAAACCACTCCATGTACTCACGATGTGTGCATCCTGAAATGAAATGCTTCAGTAACGGGTTTTTTCATGTTGTTGTTGTTGTTGTTATTTGGGGGAAAGGAAATGTGTGTTGTCACTTATTTCTTCCTATTTAACTTTGGGCAAGTCACTTAGCAGCTCTGAGCCTCAGTTTCCCTTTCTGTAAAATTAGAGGGTTGAACTTGATGGTTTCTAAGATTCTCTTCAGTTCCGTGATGAGAATGGCATTAAGAATAGAAATACCCCTGGGGAAGGGGAATCAGTGTGGATTGATGAGATTCGCTAGCAGGCTCATGGGAAGAGGACTCAGATACCACCTGGACTTGGGGACAGCTCTTGGTCACGACCACATTTATAACTAGGGTGGAGCAATAGGGTCTTTTCCCCAGGTGTTGAAACTTAGAGTGTGCCAAAATTGGGGGATCCTTCTTCCCTCTGTTCACCATACCCAGCTGACTCCCACATCTACCTCCCCAGTACAGGTCAGTTCTTCAGCAGAGTAAAACCCTCATTGAGTCCCAGATATACTTCCTCTCCTTGGTGACCATGCCCCAAGAGAGCTCCCCACAAAAGCTCATTTTTACAGGTGATGAAACTGAGTCCCCTGGAGGGAAAATTACTTGCCCAAGGTCATACAGGTAGTTTAATGGCAGGTACCTTTCACTACTACCCCAAACTATCCCCACCTCATTCTAGTTGCAAAAAATTCCTGATGACAGCCCTTAGCACTGCACATACATCATTGGTATGTTCCCAGCTTGAAGAAAATCAAGCTCCTTTCTCATCCCCATGAAGATTCACTCCAAGTTTTAGTGCCTTCCTGTGGCTTCAGGGGCCCCAAGGCCAGGACATCAATTTGGAAGTGGAAGGACAATTGGTCCTGCCTTACCCGAAGTGTGGGATCCAAGTGGCAGCAGCCTTCCCAAATGGCATTGTAGTCCTGGGAATCATTCTTCTCATTCCAGTTCCCCAATTGAAAGATGCCACCCAGAGTGACTGTCTGGCTCCTGGGTCAGGAGGGAGAAGGAAGTGGAATGGTGGGCTCTGAGCCCCCAATCACCTGCTCTCATCATCTCTCCTACCAACATTATCTCCATCAGCCTCATCACCACCATTCAAATTGTATTACATTTGCTAAGTATTTACTGTGCGAAGAGCATTTTGCTGGGTTCTGGAACAGACAGGATTGTTAGATGAGGCATAGCCCTTATCCTCAAGGGCTCACACTCTTTGTAGTAGGAAGACAGGACACACAGGGATAAATAGAATAGCTTTACTTCTTACTATATGAACAAAGTCCTTTCCTTGAAGACTTTCTATACGGTGAAAATCCATGTTAAGAAAACAGACCACAGGGGCAGCTAGGTGGCACAGTGGATAGAGCACCAGCCGTGAAGTCAGGAAGACCTGAGTTCAAATCCAGCCTCAGACCAAACACTTGACACGTACTAGCTGTGTGACCCTGGGCAAGTCACTTAACCCCAATTGACCCCCTCCCAAAAAGAAAAGAAAAAAATAAGAAAGAAAACAGATCATGATCTGTCCTCAGAGAGGAGATGCTTTGGGGGATTGGCATCAGGGCTAGGCTGGAACCAGCTCAAACTGGCTCACAAGTGCTGATTGTTAAATTTTTAGTGTAAGCATTTACACCGAGGAAATCATCAAGTGAGGCAAATTGGGGCTTGATTTATGTTTCATTATCGTATAGACTTAAAGTGAAGGGGAAAATGGTCATAATACAGATTAAACTCAAAAGTGTGTCATGCACACATTTTTTTTCTGGAGAGCTGGTTGTTAAACATTTATCAGCACACCTCTGCCTGGCATCATGTTTTTGCTCAGGTTTCTATAATGGAAAAGAATAGTTCATGGAATGAAAAAATGATAATTATTGTTTATTAAAGTAAAAATTTATGAGTATCCATGTGCCAAGGGACGGGCATTTATAATACCTTATAAAAGGTCCATAAGAAAGGTGCAAGTAAAGAGCTCTGTGAAGGACAAGGGGAAAATCATCATCAGCCAAAAGGAGGACTTCATGGAGGTGGAGGCATTTGAGTTGGGCTCCAAATCATGGCAAGAATGTAATGGGCAGAGAGTGAGCAGAATATCCCAGCTATAATGAGCAGTGGGAGCTGAGGAAGAGAGGTGGATAAATGTGGAACAGTGAGTCCAGCAACTTGACTGAAGTATCAAGTATATGGAAGGGAGGAGTATGAGATCTGTCTGGAAATGCAGCAAGGAGATAGAACAGTTGGGGCCTTGCATGCCTATTACCACCATCATCATCACTGGCACCACCACCCCTATGACTCCCATCACCACCAACACCATCACCACAGCTAACCCTATCGCCACTCAGTAACACCATCATCTCTACCGCCATGACCATGACTATCACCTCCACCAACACCATCACCACAGCTAACCCTATCGCCACTCAGTAACACCATCATCTCTACCGCCATGACCATGACTATCACCTCCACCAACACCATCACCACAGCTAACCCTATCGCCACTCAGTAACACCATCATCTCTACCGCCATGACCATGACTATCACCTCCACCAACACCATCACCACAGCTAACCCTATCGCCACTCAGTAACACCATCATCTCTACCGCCATGACCATGACTATCACCTCCACCAACACCATCTCCACAGCTAACCCTATCGCCACTCAGTAACACCATCATCTCTACCGCCATGACCATGACTATCACCTCCACCAACACCATCACCACAGCTAACCCTATCGCCACTCAGTAACACCACCATCTCTACCGCCATGACCATGACTATCACCTCCACCAACACCATCACCTCCATCACCACCACCACTGTGGTTATTATCATCACCATTAATGCCATCGTCACTACCAGCACCATGACTATACTGATCACTTTTACCATCAATGCCTATATCACTACCAATGCCACCAACTGTCACCCCCAATACCATCACCACCACCATTATGACTATAACAATCACTGTCACCACCACCATCACCATCACCAACACCGTCACTACCGCCATCACCATGACTATCATTGTCCATCGCCATTGCAATGGATTTGCTCATTGTTCAATCTACCCCTGTTCCAAGAGTCTGATGGGCTGGGCCTTTCTCACCAATTCTACTTGGTCCTTGAGGGGAGTAATGAATGGTAATTACCAAAAGGAAACTTCAAGCTTGAGGTCAGGAAAAGACTTCCTAACAATGAGAGCTATTCAAAAGGAATGGGCTGCCTGAAGAGAGGTGGGCTCTCACTCCTCCACTGGAGGTCAGCATGCAGAGGCTAGAGGGAAATAGCAGAAGTCCCTTCCCCCTCTGACCTTGTGTGGGTCTGGGGGGAGGGTAGGTCCAGCTGGACTGAGGTCCCCAGCCTCTGAGGACAATTCATGGAGTAGCCCCATCATAAAAGGGCATGAAGGCCTTCCTTGCCCTACCCCCACCCCCAAGTTGGTACCTTACCCTGGGATGATATATGGGGCCTTGTACATCCCAGCATCTGGATCATGAGTGACAATGAAGTGCTTCATCCAAGGGGCAAAGACCTGGACGGAACAAAAGGGAAAGATCTGTGGATGGCCATGCCCCACCCACATGCCAGGACCAGAGACTCCCTTCCTGGGCTTCTAGTAGGACTGCATTCCTTAGTCTCCAGTGCCCTGATGGGCCCAGCTTATGGAGAAGCTCACACAGGCTCCACACTCTAGAAGGTCCTGCTTCCCCGGGAGCATCCTCTCCCCAGCACTGACAATAGGCAGAAGCTTACTCTAGACCTCCTTAGATGGAAAGCTATGGCAGAGCCAGAAAAAGTCATTAGCATTTCCTTGGCAAGGACGAAAAATTCCCAAACCCTTCCCAACTCCACCTAGTAGGGTATGACCTCCCACCAGAGCCTTCACCATAATCCTATTTCTGTAGTGCTGTGAAGTTTACAAAGGGCTTTCCTTATAACAACCCAGAAAGATAGGTAATTTTTTCAGAAAAGGAGACTGAGGTTCAGAGAAGTGACCTGACAGCTTATAAATATCAGATCTCTCCACTCTGCCAATCTGCCTTCCTCATATGTCACAGCTTGTCACAAAATACGTGTATCTGTGTCCTGAGAAGTGGGATTTTCTGACCCTGAAACTATAGGTATTCATTTTTTAAACTTACCTTTGGAAGGGTCCCTTCTTGCACTCCCATGGAGTAGTACAAACCCCAGGTAGCTGCCTACCCCATGGGCCCCCAGCCTTGACTCGGTGTCCTGAACCCTAAGGTGCCAGCTTTAGCCAGCCCTCCAGCGTGGGCCCCTCCTTCCCAAGCCAGCCCTTTCTCTGGGCACCTTGATCATTCTGTTTAAAAGACTTTCCACAGAAGTCCTCAGAGGCCTTTGACCCTTGGGCTGTAGTCAAGGACATCTCCTTCACCACCACTGCCCCCCAACACCATGGTCACCAGACCCACCTTGAGGATCTGTCCCCGTGCAGGCTGCAGCAACGGGTCGGCTTGCAGCTGCCCAGCCCACACTCCAGTGCAATTGATGATGATGTCTGCCCCTTCCCTCGCCACCTGGGGACAAATGGCACATGGGGAGGGGAGAAGAGAGGGCTGCTGAGCACAGCCTCCTGAACATCCCTCTGGGGATCCGAGAAACCCCAGGAGGTAGGAGCAGAGAAGGAGGGGGGCCCAGCCCAGGCCCTGCTCCTGTGGTGTCCGCCCCCGCCCCCATCAAGGTTTGCCCCCAACCGGGAAAGGAGCATTCCTAGGAACTGGATCTGATGTTCCAGCATCCTTTAAAAAATTATTCTGAATTTAAACATTTAATGTTGTGATTAACCACTAGATCTGGCAATACCAGTTAACTGTAAGCTCTTTGAAGGCAGTGACTGTTTTCTTTATATTCTCTATGCCTGGCACACATTAGGCACTTAATAGATGCATATTTGATTGAACCAAGTTGAAATGAAGTAAAAGAGCCAGCACAAGGTTCTGTGTGTTTAATGATAAACAAAATAATCCACAAATCCTTGAGCCATGTGGGCAAGCCCCTTAGTGTAGGAGTCTCGGTTTCCTTCTCTGTAAAATAATAATAATAATAAAATGATAATAACTAGAGTTTCTATAGCATTTTAAGGTTTGCACAGTGCTTTACATATTGATTCTCCCAATAGCCCTGTGAGGGAGGTGCTATTAGTACACCCACTTTGCAAATGAGGAAACTAAAGCTCAGAGGTGAAATGATTTGCCCAAGGTCACACAGCTAAGTACTTGTCTGAGAGCAGATTTGAACTCTGGTCTTCCTGACTCCAACCTGGAAGTCTACCACTGTAACACCTGACAGTCATATCTCTGGTACCTAACTGATGGGGAGCAGCACACCACATCATGCGAGGGGCCGACCTTGGGCCCCAGGCTTGTGGAGGATGCTCCAGAGTCACTGGTGTGTCACACAGCAGAGGACTTTGTAATGTCGAATTGAGCTGCCGTTTGGTCGCTGGCACTGGGGTTAGTGCTAAGGCAGATCTGAGGGTTCCACTGGCCTCACTCTGGCTTCTTCTCCCCATTTTTGGGTGCCCGGTTTCCTTACTTTCACTGAGTTTGGAGCGGGGATGGCAGGCACGAAGCGGGGTTGGGCATGCCGTCCCTGCGCATTTGGCAATATCACCTTGGAACAAAGACAGAAGAGCCTTAAGGGGATGAGACAGAGGGCAAGACCATAGCCAGGGACCTGAAGGGCCCTTGAGTCCAGCCTACTCATTTCACAGATGAGGAAACTGAGGCCCAGGAAACTTAACTGACTTGCCCACACAGGCAATGACCGTTAAAGGTTGGATTTGAACTCAGATCCTTGGACATAAAATCAATGCTCTTTGCTTTATTCCCCAGTGGCCTCCCAAGTCACTTGGCCTTCTGAGTTGTAGCGTTCTCACTGTAAAATGGAAACTCATCGTGTTCATAACATAGGGTTGTTGTAAGGTTTAGAAGAGAGGACACTTAAAATAATCACGCAAGCTTTAAAAGCACAGTAGGATGGTATTTACTGCACTATTATCCAAAGCCACTTTGTGGTTGTTGTTCAGTGATGTCTGACTCTTCGTGACCCCGTTTGGGGTTTTCTTGGCAAAGATACTGGAGTGGTTTGCCATTTCCTTCTCCGGCTCATTTTACAAGTGAGGAAACTGAGGCCAACAGGGGAAGTGACCTGCCCAGGGTCACACAGCTAGTAAGTGTCTGAGGCTGGATTTGAACTCAGGTCTTCCTGACTCTAGGCCTGCCACTGCACCACCTAGCTGCCTCAAAGTCACTTTAAATATACAATATAATATGCAATACCCTTCCTTCGTTCTACTTTGCTATGGAAATGCTTAGGGCAGAGTTGATTGTGTGTGTGTGTGTGTGTGTGTTTGTTAAATTTAGAATAAAAAATGTAAACACTGTGTAGATGATGGTTATTATTGTCCACCGTTACATAAAAAAGGAACAGAAGCAGGACTTGAATCAGATCTTCTGATTTCAGAATCAGTATACTTGCCACTACAAGCATTTATTAAGCACCTGCTGCACTTAACATGATCCATAGTATTGCTTTATGGGTTTTTGTAAAGTCCATGGGACAGGGTTTTTGTTTTGTTTTCTTCCTGAGGCAATCAGGGTTAAGTGAGTTGCCCAGGGTCACACAGCTAGTAAGTGTCACGTATCTGAGGCAGGATTTGAACTCAGGTCCTCCTGACTTCAGGGCCAGTGCTCTATCCACTAAGCCACCTCGCTGCCCCGGGACAGGGTTTTTAAGGAAACAATTCTTTGTTTACCTCTGGGTAAAGAATATGTATGCACCCAGACAGTGTCATAAACTGGTGGCCACACAACAAGGAAAATCCATGCCTGAGTTATAAAATAGAAGAGCAGACAGGTGTAATTCTTGTTCCAATTAAAGCAAAGATCAGCCCAATGGCTTTCATTCCATTTTAATCATTGACGGGGAGCTTTTCTGACAGAATACGATGAAAAGTACCATTTCACTGACGTAGGCACTGTTTCAGAACTTTACACTGATGGATTTTTTTGTACTTTTTAATCCAAATTAGCACATTTCGATTTGTTCTTGCTGTATTTTAAGAACTTGAGCCTTTTCTCTGCCCTTCCTTAATCTAAAGACTATCGAGCATCCATTTTGGGACAATGTTGTAAACACAAATGTATGAAATAAAAGAAAGCAAACTCCCCCCCCAAAAAAAAAACCCCAAACCGCAGCCCTGTTAAGTCCTAGGGATACAAAGAAAGGCAAAAACAGTCCAACAGGCCTGTCCTCAAGGAACTCTCAGTCTAATGGGGGAGCCAGCACACACATAACTAGGCAAATACAAGATATATACACAGTAGATATTAGTCATTTAATCAACTAGTATTTATTAACACCTACTATGTGCCAGGCTTGGAGTCAGGAAGACTCATCTTCCTGAGTTCAAATCCAGACTCAGGTGCTTACTAGCTGTGTGACCCTGGACAAGTCACTTTATCATGCTTGCCTCAAAAGAAAAACAAAAAAAAAACCAAATCATGTTTGCCTCAGTTTCCCTGTCTATTAAATGAGCTGGAGAAGGAAATGGCAAACCACTCCATTATCTTTGCCAAGAAAACCCCAAATGGCGTCACAAAGAGTTGGACACGACTGAAAGATTTACTAACATGTGCCAGGTATCATGTTAATCTCTGGGGTTACAAAAAAAGACAAAGGCATCCCCTTGCCTCCCAGGAGCTTCCAGCCATAATGGAAAGTACTTAGAAGTCAGGAAAAAGGGTTACTGGAAACCAGAAGCTTCTCCTACCCTCCCCTGCCCACCTTGGAGGGTTCCCAGTGACTGGGGAAGGGAGGCAGCTAGAATTAAGAACAGCACTGGACTCCCTCCCAGCTTCAGCCAATCTATTCTTCTCCCTTGATTTACCTCCTCAAAGGACTGGACTTTTCTCAGGAAGAATTTGACTCCCCGTTCAGTTAACCTGCAAGACAAGGTTTCAGCAGGAGAAGGTGGTCAGCGAGTCAGAAGGCTGCAGCCCTGCCCAGTCTTCTTCTTCACAAGATTTAGAGTTTCAAGATCATCCGGTCTCATGCCCTTGTTTTATAAATGGAGAGACTCAGGTAGAACTTTTAAAGTCCAAGAAGCTCATTTTACAGATGGAGAAACTGAGGCTTGGGAAAGGGAAAATACAAGTAGCAAAGCCAAGGTTAGAACCTGGGTCTTTTGTCTCCAAAGTCAGAGTTCTTGCCACTGCAACACACTGACTCTCCCCAGTTCCCCAGCAGTTATAAGGGGTCTCTGGTCTCCTGTTCATCCAGCTAGTACTAGGTCATTTATAGGTTCTTCATCTTTTGGGGGGTCATGGACTCCCTTGACAGTCTGAGGAAGCCTACAGACCTCTTCTCAAAGTCATATTTTTTAAATTCATAAAATGGGATGCATAGGACTACCAAAGGAGAATGGAAATAAAAGTTCTTGAAATATGAAAAAACAATTTGCAGACCCCAGGTTAAGAACCTTGGAGGCCATGCAGTAGAGCACTGGGGAGTCTGAGGCTGTAGAATCTCTGGAGCTCAGGAGTTCTGAACTCGAGCAGGATTTAAGCCAGTCAGGCTCAGTCAGACTCAAACCGAGATCTTCCTGCCTCCAAGACAGATATTCTCCACCTCTCCATCACCCACGGCCTCTCCATTGTATCCAAGGACACCAAGACACATGAAACAATCCCTATGCCCAAGGGACTGGAAACTCCAACGTTGAAGGGGCCTTAGAGGCACCTAGTCCAACCCAGACCAGAATATCAGGTCCCACAAGTGGCCGTCCTCGATGGGTCTGAAGCCATCTAGGTCTAGTGAGGAGGAAGCAGATGCCTCCTGAGACGGCCCAGATTGAGAAGGCTCTGACTGTGCCAAGCTTAAAGCTGTCTCCTTGTAGCATCTACCCCCTGCTTCTATTTCTGCCCTTTGGATCCAGGCTGAGAAGATGGAATCATGCATGGATCCTTGAAGTACAACCCTGTATTATTACCTTTTTTTTTTTAATTTGGTGAGGCAATTGGGGTTATGTGACTTGCCCAGGGTCACACAGCTAGTAAGTGTCATGCGTCTGAGGCTGGATTTGAACTCAGGTCCTCCTGACTCCAAGGCTGGAGCTTTATCCACTGCACACCTAGCTTCCCCTACAACCCTGTATTATTGTTGGGACAATGGATGACGATCTTAAGCCTGAGGGGCTGAATTCCCCCCCCCCCAAGCCATGCCCCTGATGGGGATGAGGCAGCACTCACCTCTGGGTGAGCCAGGGCAGGTATTTATTGCCTTCCAAGATCAATGCAGTGTTGAACCATCCGTAGCTAACACAAGAGGTGAGGAGCAAAGGAATGGCATGGTTAAGAAGGAGCAGGCCCGGCAATTAATATACATTTTAAAATCATTTTACTGTCATTTACTCTGATTTCTCCTTTCTGTGCATATACATTTGAAATACAAATAGTTGCAAGCAGAGATTATCATTTTACTTTAAATTAAAGATTTTCATCCTCCTATCTCTATTTTCTCTTCCTTAAGGATTAAGAAAAAATGCACTTCATGAACTTAAATTCCTGTCCTTTTGATGTTGGAGGAGAAATCTCCCCAAGCTCCAGGCTCTCCTCAAAGTAGGCTGGAGAGAGGCCTACCTACATGTGCAAGCGGGTAGAGTGAGGCTTGGTGAGGGAGCCCACAGCAATGCTGCTCATGGCTCCAGAGGGGAAAGTACCAGCCAACAGTGCCTGCCACCGTACATCAGCATTTGGGGGGGGGGGAAACGTTCTGCTCTGCCTGAAGCAAATCCCTCCCTTGCCCAATGGTCCCATCAGTCCTACCTGTAACCAGGAAACAGCTCAAGCTCTCGGGGTGTCAGTTTCCGAAACCCCAGAACCGTGTCTTTCCAGGAGGGATCCTACAGAGGGAAAAATCATGACCCCATGAAATCCAAAGGGAGCTTCTGATTCAGACTCCTATCCACTCTGAATTCCCTGTATCAACTAACCAAAAAGCATATTGCATATGGGCTCTTGGTATGCTAAGCCGGGCCATAGGAAGAAAAGGCAAAAACAGTTCTTGCCCTAGAGAAGCTTCCATTCTACCGGAGGAGACCATGTGATCACATCTAAATGTATATACAATGTGTTCAAAATAGATACAAAGGAGCCTTGGAAGGGAGGACTCTCAGAGCTAGGGGGATCAGGGCAGGTTTCGTGAAGAAGGTGGTACCTGAACTGAGTCTGAGAGGGAGCCAGGGATTTCAAGACATGGAGGTAAAGAGAAAAACATTTCCAAGAATGTAGTGGGTACAGAGTAGGGAGCGGGTCAGTATGGTTTAATCACAAAGTTTCTAGATGGAGAGCAAAGTGTAAGACTGGAAAGGTAGAAAGGGACCACCTCACGAAGAGATCTAAATGTCAGATAGAGAAAAGCAGTCACCAGGATTCTACTTGAATATTTCCAGTAATGGGAACCTTACTACCTACCGAGGTAGCCCAACACATTTATAGACAACCCCATGAGGACCTTCTTTCTTAGTAGCTGCCCTTTCTATAATGATTTAAAGTTTACAAAGTACTTTTAATTAATTTGTCTCGTTTGAGCTTCACCACAACTTTGTGACTTTGATGCTAAGGGTATTATTGTCCCATTTTGCAGATGAGGAAGTTGAGAGCCGCTCAGAAAGGTTAAGCAAGTAGCCCAAGGTCACACAGCTATACAGTCATGGATCTAGAGCTGGAAGGGACCCAAGGAGCCATTTAGTCCATTTGGGCAAACTTAAGCCCACCAAGGTTAAGTGACTTGGCCAAGGTCACACAGGTAGAAAGTGAAAGAACTAGGATTTGAATTTCAGTCCTGTGACTCAGTTTAGTACTTTTTCCTCTCTACCACAGTAAATTTCAGAAGCAGATTTTACACCCATGTCTTTCTGGTTCCAAACCCAGCTCATACATGTTTGTAATTGTCCCTAAATCTGTGTCTTAGTATACCTTCTACTCACTGGCACTAATTCTACTTTCCAGAGCTATACAGAATACAAGCAATACTAGAATCAGAAAGACCTGAGTTCAAATCCTGAGTCAGACACTTACTAGCTTTGTGAACCCAGGCAAGTCATTCAATTGCTGTCTGCCTCAGTTTCCTCATCTGTAAAATGGAGATAATAATCACACCTCCTTCCCAGGGTTGTTGTGAAGATAAAAAGAGACAATAATTATAAAACAGCCTAATGGCTGACACATGTTAAGTGCTATATAAATGTTAGTGATTATAATGATAATATCAATATTAAAGCCCTTTGTAAGCCTTAAAGTTCTGTGTAATTGCTAGCTATTATTGTTATTTGCACCCTTCTTTCTACTCACAGCCACCACCTAGTCCAGATCCTCATCACCTCGTGAGTATGTTATTTCGCTAGTAACTGCATCCTGACTACATCACCCTCTAGCCAGAGGTGAGCAGCATGTTTCATCTTTGGTCCTCGGGAATGGCGATTGGATACTGCATTGGTCAGAGTCCCTTAGTCCTTCAGAGTTGTTTATTTCCACAATAATGTTGTCATTGTGTAAATTGCTCACTTCACTTTGCATCCATTCATAAAAGTCTTCCTAGGTTTCTCTGAAACCATCCCCTTCATCTTTTCTTACAGTACAATAGCATTCCATCACGTTTTCATGTGCTAATTTGTTCTGCCATTCCCCAGCTGATGAGTTTCCCTTTTAGTTTCTAATTCTTTGCTGTTTCCAACAAACGCTCCCTCCCTCCCAGGACAGAGGTCAAGCTGACTTACTGGGACAACTCTGGAGAAGAGGTTGTAGCCTGAGAGGAGGAATAGACCCATTTTCTTGGCTTCTGGAGAATTGATGTAGCCCAGTAGGTAGTCAAAGGTCTTTCGGTTCCAAGCCCTGTGAGTACAGAAACACACAAAGGGGTGGAAAAACCCCTGGGAGTAGTTGCCAACTCTGAGAGGGACCCTCAGTAGAGCTGTGAGCTGGCTAGGGCTTGGTCTGAGAAGGGGGAGGGCTGGAGGAGACCTTAGAAATCAGCTAGGCACGTTCAAGGGTCATTGGATCCTAGATCTGGAACTGGGAGGTAACTTGGAGGGCATTGAGTCCAACCCCTTCATTTTACAGATGGGGAAACTGAGGCCCAGCCAAATAAAGGCACTTCACTAAGATCACAGGACCCAAGATCTGGAGTCAGAGGCCATGAAGTCCAAGCTATCATGTTCCTCTTGTGGACACTTGGCTCTATCAGAATCTCTCTGCTCCCATCTTGTGTACTCCACCATAAGCTGACATCACTCACCCATGCCCAGCAGCACCCAGGGCATGTCTCCTAGAGGCAGTATGGTGCTGTGGGAGAAGAACCCGCCCTACAGCCAGAGGACCTGGGTTCAAACATTTGCTGCTTACCATCTGTGCAACATTAATTGTTTTTTTTGTTTGTTTGCTTGTTTGTTTTTTGGCTAGCCAATGGGGTTAAGTGACTTGCCCAAGTCACATAGCTAGTAAGTGTTATGTGTCTGAGGCCAGATTTGAACTCAGGTCCTCCTGGCTCCAGGGCCAGTGCTCTATCCACTGTGCCACCCAGCTGCCCCTTGTGCAACATTTATTAAGCACCTATTATGCACCAGGCAGCATTGTATTGGGTACTGGGGATAGAGACAAAGAATGAAAGATCTCCTGCCCTCAAGGAGTTTATATTCTATCGGGTATATATACTGACATGGGAGATACTGGCCCAGCATGGTGCCCTCATCGGGGAAGGTCCTGTGCTCTATGAGCAAAGCAGAATTGGAGTGGCTCAAAAGAAAAGCGAGAGGCGAAAATTGAGAGAATCCACCCCAAATGATCCCATGGACTGTTTGTGCCCGACCTGTGGTAGAGCGTTCCATGCTCAAATGGTCTGGTCAGCCACAGTCGGACACACTGTACCTTGGCTCCAACATAGTGATGCCATTTTGGTCTTCTTCAAGACCGATGGATAATCACAATATACCGATGTATCTATATAGATATATGTATATAAGTATGCATGTATATATGGATGTGCATGTACTTATGTGACTATACACAAAGTCAGTGCAAGATGATTTGGGAAGGGAGTTCACTAGTATCTGAGAGGATCAGAAAAGCCTTCATGTTGAAGGCAAGTCACAGCACAGCTCTGGGCCTCAGTTTCTTCATCTGTCAGATGAGGATGTCGGACTCGAAGGCATCTCAGCTCTGAATCTGTGAGCCAGGGGTCCTAACTCTAAATCCCTCTCTATCTCCCTCTCCTTCTTTGTTAAAATTCCCTTTCCCCTGTTCTCTCAGCTTATGTGTCACTAAAGGATAGGAACTCACTCTCACTAAAGTGTGAATGACTGATTTGGACCTTAAAGAGCTAGGTTTAGAATCCTGTTTCCACTGCTCTTTGCCTGAATGACTATCAATCCCTTAATTAACTGTACCTTAGATAATGTGGTTTACTCCTGTGAAATTCCTTTAAATAAAATGGGGATGATAAAAAGTTGGTCTGAATAGACACTGTCCTTCCACTCATTCTCAAAATATGGCCTAGAGTAGCAATTCTCAAAGGTTTTGGTTGCAGAACCCTTTACCCTCTTAAAAGCGATTGACCCCAAAGATCTTTTATATAGGTGAGTTATTTGGAGCAATACTTCTTATTGCATTAGAAATTAAAATGGATACCATTTAAAAATATGAATTTATTAATTCATTAAAAATAATATTAAACTTATTACATGTTAACATATTTTCATGAAAAGTAGCAATGTTTTCTAAAACAAAAATAATTAATGAGAAGAGTAGCATTGCTTTGCATATTTTTTGCAAATGTAATATCTGGCTTTAGTAGAAAATAGTGGAATTCTCCTATCTGCTTCCGCATTTAATCTATTGTAATATGTTTTGGTGAAGGACATAAAGAAAATTCAGGCTCCCACAGATACACAGTTGGAAAAGGGATGAGTATTTTAATAGGAAAATAGTTTCTTAGCATTATTATGAAAATAGTTTTGGGCAGCTAGTGGATGGAGCACCGGACCTGAAGTCAGGAGGACCTGAGTTCAAATTCGGCCTCAGGCCAAAAACTTGACACTTACTAGCTGTGTGACCCTGGGCAAGTCACTTAACCCCCAACTGCCTAAAAAAAATTGTTTTGATCTTGTTAATTTATTATTGCTCAGTGGCATCTGACTCTTTGTGATCCCATTTGGGGTTTTCTTGGGAAAGATGCTGGAGTTGTTTGACATTTCCTTCAGCTCATTATACAGATGAGGAAACTGAGTCAAACAGGGGTCACACAGCTAGTTTCTGAGGCTGGATTTGAACTCAGGAAGATGAGCCTTCCTGTCAAGCCTACCACTCTGTGCACTATGGCGCCACCTAGACGCCCCTTTGACCTTTAGGCCCCCTAAGTAGATCTTGGGGAATCCCCAGAAGTCTACAGACCACACTTTGAGAACCTTACACAAAATCTGAGTGCAGGGAGGTGGAGGAGAGAACTAGAATCAAGTGAGATAACAACAATGGAAATAACAAGATGAAGATGTGAATAGTAGTGTTAGGGGATAAATTGAGAAGATGGTGCTGGTTTGACTTAAAGAAAGACAAGGAGGAAAGGGCACAGGATTTGGAGTCGGGAATACCTGAGTTCAAATCTAGCCTTGGACACGTACCAGCTGTATGACCCTGAGCAAGTCACTTAATCCTTTTGCCTCAGTTTCCTCATCTGTAAAATGGAGATGCACTGGAGAAAGAAATGGCAGTCCACTCCTGCGTCTTTGCCAAGAAAACCCCAAATGGGTCATGAAGAATTGGATATGACTAAATAATAACGTGCTTTGTGTGACCTTGGGCAAATCATTTCATTTGTCTGGACCTCAGTTTCTTTATCTGTAAAGAGAAGGCGGTTGGGCTTCTAAGGCCCCTTCCATGTCTAAATCTGCAATCCTCTAAATGGAAAACAACCCTGTCACACAAATATGTATGTTTCCCATGGTAATTTGGTTGAATTTTTTTGGTGTCTGTCTCTATATATTGCTTTCCTGCCAAAAAGACAAAGTTGAGAGACACGTTTTCTATTTGGGGATTCAGGCCTATTTTGAGGTTGTCCCCATCTCTCAGAGCCCTGAGGCTCACTTGCATCAGGCTCCCTCTCTTTTGGACACATTCCTCTTTTTCTGCTTTTTTCCTAGAAACTTCTTTGCCGCTCAGCACTCGCATTTCCTTTCTTACTGACCTCTCTGGCCAATACCTAGCATTTCCTCACCTGAGATCAGAAGTGAAAAACCACTCAAATGAGTCTGAGCAAGAATCCATCTCATCAAAACTGCAAAAAATGATGACCTTTGGGCCTTTTCAAGTTGCCCTATTGAGGGGGAAACAGAGGACCCCAGGCATCCCCCATCCTGACTGGGAAGAGCTTGGGGGAGTCACAGGGTCAGTGATCTAGAGACGGAAATGCCCTTAGAGGCCACTGAATCCAACTCCTTCATTTTACAGCTGAGAAAACTGAAGCCTCAGGGAAGTTAGGTGACCTGCCTGGGGTCACCCAGCTAGTAAATGGATGAGGCAGAATTCAAACTCAGGTCTTCCTGACCTGTAGCATTAGCTATCTAATTTGGGTGTATTCAGCCCGAAAATGGGTGACCTCTCTGACTTTCACTGATGCCCATCCCTGATGTCCACTGCACCTGAGGCCCCGGTGACTGTCACCTGCCCCAGCTGAGGGCTCGGTAGAGAAGCCCTGTGTGAATCCACCCTTCTTCAACAGCTCAGGCCCTTTGTACTGGGACCTAAATCTCTTTCCCCTCATAGCCAGTCTCCTTCCCTACCCCTCCTAGCCTCATTTCATACCTTGGACTTAGAGGTTAGACACAACCCTCAGAGGTTAAGTGACTTGCCCAGGGTCACATAGCCAAATATGTGTCAGAGGCAGGATTTGAACCCAGGGCTTCTTGTCTCTGAGGTCATTGCTCTATCTGCTAGACCACACTGCCCTCATGTGAGTTAAAATTTGGCATAATAAAGGTCCATTTGTATCTTAGGATCATAGGTCCCAAGAAACCGAGAAGACACCTCAGAAATTATCTAACCCAACTCCCTCATTTTATGGAGGGAGAACCTGAAACCCAGGGATGTTAAGTGATTTACCCAGGGAAGTATCAGATGCTGGAAGGGACCTCAGACATCATCCAGCCCAACTTCCTCATTTTATAAAGAGAGAAACTGAGGCCTCTAGAGGTAAATGACTTGCCTAAGGTCATATAGATAGTAAATATGAAAAGCAGGATTTGAACATAAATTCTCTGTCTAGTTCTCTGAACTAGTGTTTTTTCCCCTATCTCTGGACAGTTCAATTCTTTTCATAAAAAAAACTTTTCCAAGTTCCCAAATAGCCAGAAAAGCTGATACATGGGCCAGCACAATGACCCCCACAGGGTCAGTAGAAATGGGCGTTGCTATTTACCGTGGCATCAGTCAGAGGAGATTTCTTGCTTTGGAATGTTCAGTGACTAAAGGCCAGATGGACATGATAAGTGCTTGCCTCTCCCAGCTAGAACCACGCCAGCTGCTGGCCCCACCCCCACCCCACCCTGGGATTCCTTGCTCACGTCTCCTGTGGTTCCTCAGAGAGGTAGGGCTGCCAGAGGCCTGCAGCCCCATCACTAGTTGTGAGTGGAGTGAAGCGGTCGGCATACACCTCGATGGACAGGGGCCGAAGGGTGTGGTGGTAACGTTCATGGATGCACAGGGCAGCGGAAAGTCCAATCACTCCTGCCCCAATTATGGCCACACGCATTGTGGAGGCTGTAGGGAGTGGAGACAAGAGGGACAGCCTCAGAAATAAGACAAAATGGGAACTGGCTACTTTCCAGCAGAAAAGAGCAGATGAGTGGGACTCGATTCCCTTCTTCAGAAACTGAGGGAGTTTGACTAAATGGCCCCATTCTATGATATAGCTCTTACACTTACTAGCTGTGTGACATTGGGCAAATCACTTCCCTTCTCAGCTTCCCCATCTGTGAAATGTGAGGGTTCCACTAGATGGCCTCTGAAGACCCTTCCATGACTAGAGGGACGTATGAGAGCAAGTCTCATAACATCTATGGGCCTCAGTTTCCTCCTCTGTAAAGTGCTGGGATTGGACAAATGACCTATGACACACCAGCTCTAGGTCATCAGCCTAGATCACCTCAGTGGATTTATCCAAATTATCCTGCATGTAGCTTGTATGTATATAGTGGTTTGCATGTTATCTCCCCAATTAGACTGTCAGCTCCTTGAGATCAGGGACCATCTCTTCCTTTCTTCGTATCTTCAGAACTTGGCACGATGCCTGGCATAGAGTACGTGCTTAATTAAATGTTTGTTGACTGACTAGCTGACCTAGTCTGGCCAACCAAAATGTTGTTACATTCCAGGTGCCACAAAATAGGAAGGTCGTTGATAAGCTGGATTGTATGGAGGAGGGCAGTCTTCAAGGTGAAGGCTCTTGAGATCATGCCGTAGGAGGATGGGGAGATGCCAAGGAGGAACTAACCTTGTTTTGCTTGGCCCCAGGAAGAGAAGAGCCAACGACAATGAATGGAAGATGCAAAAAGGCAGATTCCATTTTGATATCAGAGAAATTTTTCCTACAATGAGAGAGGTCCCAAAGTGGAATGGGCCGCTTGGGGAGGTGGAGGGTACTTCATCAATGGGGGTCTTCCAGCAAAGACTGGATGACATTCGTGAGGTATGTTAGAGAAGGAATCCTTGTTTAGGTATGAGTTGGACCAGATGGCCACCAGGCAGTCTTCTAACAGTCAATCAATCGGCATTTATTCTTAGCTCTGGGTTTGTCTTCCTCTGTAAAGCTGGTAGCTATCTGCCCTTTTCTGAAAAATCTTCACAGATGGAAATGCCATTTCCCATGTCTCTGAGCTTCACCACCTTTGGAGGAAAAAAATGGAGTTGGGAAGAAAACAAAGAAAAAAGAAAAGTTGGAGGGAAAAAAGGGAGTTTCACTAAAACTGTATTGTTCTCTAAGCCAGGTGACTCCAACTGGGTGGTCATGGTCTACTGGTAAATGTTCAAGTGTAACTCAGTGAATTGCAAAACTGGCCAGTGCCATCATACCTTGTCGGCTGGGCCAGATCAGAAACTCCTAGATCTCTCATGGGGAGGGACCCCAGAGGCCATCAAGCCCAACTACCTCATTATTTTACAGAAGAGTAAACTGAGGCTCAGAGAGTTGTGCGACTTGTCCAAGGACACACAACCAGTAAGTGTCAGAAATACAATCGGGTTTAGCACTGGAAAGGACCTTTGAGGCTAAATCCTTCATTTTACAGATGAGGAAACTGAGACCCAGAGAGTATAATTTGCCCAAGGTCATACAATTGTTTTAGGAGAGCAGACCTCCAGCGTACCTTGTCGGTCTACATCTGACCCTTTTCCTCTACCTATAGATCCATCACTTTAAATGAGACCCTCATCACCTGTCAGTTCCCTGCCCAAAGTCTCTCCTCTCTCCAGCTCATAGCTTCCAAAGTTATCTCCTTCATTGCAAAGCTGACTGGGTCATCCCTCTCCCCAATAAACTCCAGTGGTCTTCTGATGTCTCTAAAATCAAATATTAACTTCTCCCTTTAATTTTTTAATTCCCAAGTTCAAATCTGGCCTCAGACACTTTATCAGCTGTGTGACCCTGGGCAAATCACGTAAGCTTATTTGCCTCAGTTTCTTCATCTGTAAAATGATCTAGAGAAGGAAATGGAAGACCACTCCAGTATCTCAGGAGCTCCATTTAAATTTGAGGAGACTTCTGGATTTTAGGAGAGTAGCAGGCTCCCAGCTAGGTTGGAAGATGCATATTTTATTATGCACTGTGTTATTACTAGAAGTACTATTTTTTTATTATTAATTCTATGCTAAGAGTTAAAATAAGCTGTATACATCATTTGGGCATGTGTCTTCTACAGAAAGCCAAATCCATTGTGCCACAGTCACCTGACCAGCACTCACTGAAATATAGGAAGTCCCACAGACTTGCTCTAAGGCCGGGCTTCCCTCCTGACCTCTGGGAGCTCTGAACCACTTTTGATTGGCTAGATCCACGTGTAACAGCGGACTGGCCAATAAACGCAGTCCTAATACACTGAGCATGCTGGCTGGATGCAGGCTCCTCAGCCTCTTCCATGGGGAGCTGTATCAGCCACTGCACAGGGTCATGAGGTCCGGGCTTATTGGCCAAGCCTTCTTACACACAAACAGACATACCCCTTGACGAGGAATCAGGCCAGCGCTATAGAAAGAAGCAGAGCTGAAGGATGAAGTTTGCTGACTGGTCATCCTAGAAAGCATGTTTTCGAATGTTTCCATCCAGTGAGACACATTCCCCAGTGATGGTACTATCACCGCCACCTGGTGGTTAAGGTGATAGCTAACACTTCTACATCACTTTTCAGAATTCTTTACATAGATGATCTTGTTTGAACCCCAGAACCCCATGAAACAGGTTCATATAATACTAGGAGCTCCTCAGTTCTTCCCCTGGTGCAGATCACTACCCAAACATGCCTGTTGTTGTTCAGTCGTTTTTCAGTTGTGTCCGATTCTTCATGACCCTATTTGGGGTATTCTTGGCAGAGATACTGGAGTGGTTTGAGAGAAAGGAAGATGGCATGGTTCTCTTCGAGAAGAAAAAACAAACAGAAAAGCAACTGGAGTGGTTTGCCATTTCTTTGTCTAGCTCATTTTATAGATGAGGAAACGGAGGCAAACAAGGTGAAGTGACTTGCCCAGTGTCACACAACTAGTAAGTGCCTGAGGACAGGTTGAAACTCATGAAGAGTCTTCCTGCCTCCAGGCCCAGTGCTCTATGCGCTATGGCACCACCTACCTAGCTGCCCAAATGAGATAATAATTGTGTATTATGTGCCTGGCACATAGCATTGCCGTACGGTCATTCAGTCTTATCTGACTCAATAACCACGTGGACTTGTCCATGGGATTTTCTTAGCAAAGATACTAGAGTGGTTTGCCATTTCCTTCTCCAGTTCATTTTATACACAGGAACTGAGGCACACAGGGTTAAGTGACTTGTCCAGGGTCACACAGCTAGTAAGTGTCTGAGGCTGGATTTGAACTCAGATCTTCCTGACTCCAGGTCTGGTGCTCTAACCACTGTACCACCTAGCTGCCCATCCTGTATTCCTCTTGTCCTAATTGGCTCTGTGATAAATTATGAGCTGCATTTAAAGCCATTTACAATTTGGCTCCAAACTCTTTTTCTAAATTAAGCATATGTTACTCCCCAAATGGCTTACTTAAGGTTACCAGACATGTAAGTGTGCTGGAGCCAGCTCTAACTGGCTCCTAAGAGCAGATTGTTAAATTTTCTGTGACAGCATCTATCATATCACTCCGAAATTGGCAAACGCTGCAATTCAGGGCTTGATTTCGTGTTATGTTGATTGTGTAGACTTAAGAAAATCATGGGAACAATGTTACTAGTACAGATTAAAACTTAAAAGTGTATCATGTGCACGTTTCCCCCCCCAAGAGCCAGTTGTTAAACATTTAACAGCACACTCCAACCTGTGCATCCTTTACATAGGTAGCCAATTTTATGCCTCAGTGCTCTCCTTCCTCACCATCACCTTGTAGAATCACCAGCTTCCTTCAAGGCTCAGCTGAAGCTTCCTACATGGGATTTGCTGGTCTTCTCCCTACACTCCAATCCCTCAAAATTCCTTTGTATTTGCACTGTATATATCTTGTATATACTTAACTGTATACATGTTATCGACTCCCCTACCCCCACTTCCATAGCATGTGAATCCCTTGAGATATCTCATTTTTCTTCTTTATATCTGATGCCTGGCACACAGTAGGCCCTCAATAAATGTTTATTGACTTAGATCGCCATCCCCCATGCCCACAGTTCAACTGTGGGACATCAGGCTAGTCAAAGGATGCCTTCCATTGAGTAGAATCATGGCTATGTCCTACTCAGATTTGTCCTGGGGGCTTCGTTTTCCCCCGAGGAGGGAAATGCCCCAACAGCTGTCACTGACCAAAAACACCATGGGACAGCCCAATTCAACTTTCCCTCCTCTATTCTCCAAACTCTCCTCCCACAGACCCCACCTCCTGGCAGCTTGGCCAGCAGGGCCCTGAATGGGGCTTCTGTTATAGTACATTCTTTAAAAAGGTCTTTTTACCACTGGGTGGAGAGTGTGGGGGGGAAGAGGGGGCGGGGCTTGATAAAGGCTCTAGTCCACAAAAGCTGGACGCTGGACAGGCTTCCTCAGCCAAGTCTCCAGCAGAAACAACAACCCAGGAGGCTTCATCATGGTGAATTGTGAGCATGCGTGGTTAGGCTCCCTGTCCACCAGGACTCTAGGCAGACCAATCCTCCTCTCCCCCTAGACAACTCCTCTACTTGGAAGGAGCACACAGAAAACATCAACAAAGACAGAGGGAGTCAGTCAGTCAACAAACACTTATTAATTTCTTACTACATGCCAGGAACACTACTGAGTGCTGGGGATCTGAAGAAAGGCAAAAAAACAATCAGTTCATGATGAACTCTGAATGCAGATCGAAGCAGACTTTTTTAAACTCTCTTCATTTTTACTGTTTTATTTTGTCTGTGTTTTCTTTTGCAAGATGGCTAATATGGAAATCTGTTTTGCATGACTTCACATGTATAATAGATATCAAATTGTGTGCCTTCCTGAGGAGGGGAGGGATGGCAGGAAGTGGGGGAGGGGGGAAGAGAGAGAATTTGGAACTCAAAACTTTTAAAAATGATTGTTACAAAATTTTTTACATGTAATTGGGAAATATTTAACGAAATAAAAATATTTTTTAAAACTAAAAGTCAATCAACAAACATCTGTTAAATGGCTAGTATGTGCCAAGTGAAGGCAAAAGACAGTCCTGCCCTCAAGGAGCTTACATTCTAAGGTGGGGGGGGAATGATATATAAATAACTAAGTATATACAAGCTATAGACAGAGTAAATGAAGGTAGAGGCAGTTAGGAGTGACAAGCCTGGGGTCAGGAAGACTCATCTTCCTGAGTTCAAATCCAGCCTCAGACACTTACTTAGTGTGTGACCCTGGGCAAGTCATTTCACCCTGTTTGCCTCAGTTTCCTCATCTGTAAAATGAGCTGGAAAAGGACGTGGCAAACCACTTCAGTATTGCTGCTTAGAAAACTCTAAATGGGGTCACAGAGCCACACAAGACTGGAAAACAATTCAACAAGTCCAACAAAATGAAGGTAATCTGAAAGGGAAGGTTGATAGCTGAGTCAGAGCGCTGGTTTGGAGCCAAAGATCAGAGTTCTTAGGCGAGCTTTGCCACTAAGAGACTGAGTAGTGGACTTTATGATTCACTCCCCACCCCCCACCCCCCACACCCAATGTCTACATGTAAGGAAATGGTTGATCAGGGGAATTCCCACGTCAACCTAATGAGCTTTCAGCAAATAAGATACAAGTGCCTTGAGGACAGAGACTGTTTTATTTTTGCCCTGGGTCTCCCCCTTCCATATGGCACATAGCAGGTGCTTAATAATTGCTGATTCATTCATTTCAGGGTTTGAGGCTTCGTTTTGGAAGTGGTTTTCCCTGTGGAAAGCAAAACATTGGCTCTTAGGTCCATTTATGCCTTATTTACAAATGATTGATTGACCCAGCAATAGCACTTCTAGGGCTGTATCCCAAAGAGATTATAAAAACGGGAAAAGGACCCACCTGTACAAAAATATTCATAGCAGCTCTTTTTGTGGTGGCAAAGAATTGGGAATTGAGGGGGATGCCCATCCATTGGGGAATGGCTGAACAAGTTGTGATATATGATTGTGATGGAGTACTATTGTGCTAGAAGAAATGATGAGCAGAATGCTCCAAGGCTATTCCAAAGGACTCGTGATGAAAA